GCTCAGGTTCAGCCATCCTGCTGCTTCAGCCTGCATGCCGAAACTGGCTGGCAATCTTCCACTCACAATCACAAGGCACCAGGACACTACCGCACGGACCACAATGCTGCACTGCAGCATCAAAGGATATGACCAAGCACTACGACCATGAGCACAAGCGAATGCATTTTATCAGCGGCACCTTGTAGGAGCCGTGCCAATGAAGTCTGCAGTCTGCCACCTGGGCAGGATCACAGCTCAGCTCCCTGGCAGCACCTCGTTGCTGAGAGGCTGAGAGGGGCAGGGGAACGTCTGGTGAAGTCCAGTGGCCACCAGCGTTCTGCGACCTGGGCAGAACGAAGACAAACTGTATTCTTGCAGCACCTGATCGCTGAGGCATAAGCCGGGAAACTCCTTCGCCTTCAGCTTTCCCGCGACCTGGGCAGCGCAAGACAAAGGTTTAGGACTCAGGAGGACAGGAAAGGAGAAGTAAGCCAAAAAAGAAGACACTGCAGTTTTCAAAAACTCACGCAACTCTTGCGTCATGCGATCATGGCCGAAAAGCCCTAAGCCCAGAAGATATATACACTTGATCAGAGCCATTTGGCCGAGAAGGTTGCAGCCGCAGCGAAGCAAATCAATCACGAGTCGAAGAAGCCGCCGCACCACATTCTGGCCGTGACCGTGCAGCGAACGTTTCTGCCATGAGTTGCATCGCACGTTCCAGCTGGGATTTCGACAGCTTCGCTTCACAACGCTGACGAGCGACTTCAATAATGACATCCATATCCACGTACTCAGTTGCCCGAAACAAGTTTTCGTCCAAAGCTGCGAGCACGGATGGCCACTGAGGGTTGTTTCGAGGATCTTCTTCTTCGCTCGCGCACAGTTGCACAAAAAGCTGAACCTGACGAAACACTTGGGCCATCGGCTGCTGCATGTCTGTCGGCAGCATCGCCAGTGTGTCGCTCTCCAGTGAAGCCGGAGACGTCTGCTGAGCAATCTCGACACCAAGGCTGCCGTTTCGACTGGTACCCGAAAGCGTCAGGGCCCAGTTTCCCGCAGCCTCACCAGCTCCACGCTTCGGTGCAGCCAGAGGCAAGACAGGGAACACGCCCATCAAAAGCAGCAAAAGCCGAGCCATGATCTCAAAGCAAAGCTGCTAACCAGGCATGCGCTAACTCAAAACACCCTAAACCACAGTGGCCACAGAAGCATAAAGCATGTGCACGCACACTCAGACAGACATGGAACCCAGTGCGAACGCAAGCCTGAGCGGTTCAGAAGTTCAGACGATCTGAAGCTCAGGTCCGGACTCACCGATCACCGAAGCGACGTGCCGTTGTGGTAAGTTGTGCTGTTGCCTAGCTGCTGCTGCTGCTACTGCACTGCTAGGGTTTGTTCAAAAGGATGATGCTATTTGTATTTGCAAGCTCGTCGATGTTTCAGTACTACGGGCCTGTACATCTACCGACTGTGCAAGCCATCCTTGCGACTTGCGGCGGCACGACAAGATGACCTTCATTGTGCACAAAGAGCTGAAACTTGAAAATCTGAGAACTTGTTCAAGACGGAGCGACTGGAACTAATCGGTCAACAATCCAAAAACAAACTTTTGCACCTGAATCCTCAGAGTCCCCGAAGCCCACGAGTATCGCGACAGCAAGACAGTATCAGCCAAGGGCCAAGGGCCATCCTCACCGGCTCAGGAACACACATCGCACAAACCATGCAATGTTCATTCTGTTGTGCTCAGCTGTTTTCGAAAAACTGAAAAGCTGTTGTGTAAAAAGAAATCAGGTGATAATCCCAAGTGATATGAACACGAAAGATTTCGTTCTGATGACAACTGACAACAGGCCACAGAGTCACCACTGAGTCACCACCTGTCAAAGGTTTGTTTGTATTTTGTTTGGAAAAGTACCGGGTTGTCCCAATTGTCCATTAGGCCTACCGGCCTACCCTCCGCCAGCAATCGTTGCAAATTATTGGCCATAAAGGGCTTATACCAGAACGAAGTTATGTTCAAGTTAGGAAGACCCATGGGCAGCCATGCCAAAAACCCTTCTGCGCAAGTCGGCAGGCAATGGCACCAGCCTTGACAGTGCTGGCACATGGGAGGCAAATGTTCCAACACTTTGGTAGAGTATGACGTTCTGCATCACGCCAGCGTCGTGCTTGCTGTCGGGTGACGGGTACGAACTGCAATCACTTGCACGCAGTCTCTGGGGCCAATGTCTAATTTGTATAATAAAGCTGGCGCACTGACGCAGGCTAGAGGAGGAAGAATAATAAGAGGGGGAACCAGCAGACGAAGAACTTTCTGCCTGGAAGCAGGGCTTCATGTCTCTGAAGACAAGGCATTCAGGACCTGCGTCTGGGATCTCCAGTGGTCATGCTACGCTGCTCCTTCGTGCTTCGTAGGTTGGGAACAACTGATAAGCACGATTAATCACCTATGGAGAGCCCTTGTGTGTGAAGTACACTGCCAGATCTCGACCTGGACCAGCACAGGCCATTAAAGGGGTGCTGAACCGCCATTATTGAAGACTGAAGCATCGCCATACCGCGGGGGACGGGAGGCGTATTGAAATGTGAGGCCCCGGACCAGCGTGTCTCCTGGAAGCAAAGGACATGGTACGGGCAGCTGTGAGAGGCTGCTGCTGGGCGCTCAGACCGCCTGCGTTCCAGGTGAAAGCTGACAAAGCAGTGGCCAACGCGCCTGGGACGCTTGGTGGATGTAGTGCCGGGCATTGGTCTGTCTGGTCGGAGGCTGCCTCGACGACCCGAAGGCAAATCATCAGCACCCAGGCCCTGTGATGCTTGTCGTGCAAAAATCACTTCCCCATCTCGATACGCCGCCGATCCGTCCCTTCAAGCACGTCTGCAGGCTTGTCGGTAAGATTTCTTCTGAATCTCCTGCACCATCCGCCCTGTTTCGTGCGAAATGCAACCCCCGCTGTGCGGAAGACGGGAACCGTCACGCTAAGGAGAAGCGACAAGTTGCTTTGCAACATGACACCTCCCCCGGATTTGAAACCGGGCCAGCTGCTTGCTGTTCGCAACGCTTGCAAGGTGGCGTGCCTGCACTCACCACTGGAAAGAAGCAGTGCAGGAGGCTACCTCACAGAAAGCACAGTCCCATGCGAGACCTGAGCTCAAGAATATGGGAGGGGACCCGGGAGCTGTTGGTTGGGAGCTCCACAGGCTATCCTGTCGCGATTCGACGGTCACAAGTCGCGGCCGCTTGAGCTGGCAGACAACAACAACAATTACTTTATAGGACGCTGAGCGAGCGGGCTCTGCACATAGCAACAACAACAACAACAACAGCAACAACCACCGGCAAAACCACCACCACCACCACGACCACGACCACGACTACCAGCAGCAGCTGCCGGCACGGCAGCAGCAGCAGCCACAGCATCAGCAGGAGCGCGAGCGGTAGCAGCAGCAGCAGCAGCAGCAGCAGCAGCAGCAGAAGTAGCAATAGCAGCAGCAGCAGCAGCAGAAGTAGCAATAGCAGCAGCAGCAGCAGCAGCAGCAGCAGCAGCGGCAGCAGCAGCGGCGGCAGTGGCAGTGGCAGTAACAGTGGCAGTAGCAGAAAAGCAGAAATGGGAGCAGCAGTCGTCGTCGTACTGAGGTGTAGCAGTTGCAGAAGTAGGAGTAATAGTCGTCGTCGTAGTAATACGTTGTAGTAGTAGTAGTAGTAGTAGTAGTAGTAGTAGTAGCAGTAGCAGCAGCTGCAGGAGTAGTAGTGGTAGTAGCAGTAGTAGTAGTCGTAGTAGCAGTAGTAGAGTAGTAGTA